TCTCTCTCCCTTCACTAGAGTAGTGGGAATTGAACTCAGGAGACTGGGATTGCCAGGCAGGTGATTTTGCTGCAGAGCTATATTCCTGCTCACTCACTACCTTTGCACTGTTTGTAACTGTTTTTACCTACAGTTCACCAGCCACACTACCAAGGTCAGCATTCTTGGACCTTAAACACACTTTTTCCCAGCTCCTTAGCATTCCTGTGATGCTCTTTGCCTAGGATGTTCTTCCAGCACAGTCCTTTGCTCTCAAAATCTTATATAATTTTAGGCCGCAAATATTACTCATATTATTAAATCCTCACTAGACTAATACAGCTGATGACAGATTCTAGTTAAGAGCCTACTAACCTTGAGGCACTGGGTCTCATTCTTATAGCCCCAGTTGACTACAGTGATTCCCATGGACCTTGTGTTACAGGTGAGTGGAGCCCATGGGGATGAGGTCTGGCTGAGTAAACCAAAGTCAGACTCAAATGTAGTTCTTACTTACCAAAGTCAGACTTCAAATGTAGAGCTCTGCAGAATTATTCTAATAATGTCTCCTTTACAATGCAAATGCACCACCATGAGTATTACAAGCTCCATTTCTTTTTATTCTGGGCCTATATTAGGAAGCTCATAAATGTCTCATAATTTGGTTAGCTGTCTTTTTAACCTATTGCACTACCTGCATAGAACTTCATTGGCATTACAATCATAAATGATATTTTAATTAATTCCATTGTACAACAAAGCTTTTATATGATTCAAAGCTATTAACTTCTTTTTTTTTTCAAAGCTATTAACTTCAAAAAGTTGATTTTGATTGCTTCTTTCTTTCTTGTTTTGTTTTTTGTTTCTTTCTTCTTTTATTTTTTTCCTTTGTAACTTCAGGGTTAACAGTTTTAATCCAGGACTAATATTTTCAAAGATACATTTTTTTATTAATGAAAAACTAATTTTGCATATAAACTCAAATTTGCTACCAGCAGTAACACTATTGCTTATGTCATTTGATTGTCTTAAGTAAAGACCCACAAGCCCAGTATATGAAAACAATTTCAGCCACTACAAGCTCTGAAATTCTTCTTAAGCCCTGATAATGAGGGACTCAATCCTTCTGCCATACCAAGATTATATGTTTCTGTATTAAATTTATTCACACATGAAGAAAATACTTGACAGACCAGTTTTAATTTCATGTTCATCATAAACACTTTCTCTTATGGACTTTGATTTTTATCCCCACCAATTATGTGTTAGTTCAAGCTGTAGTATTGGATGCAGTTTTCAGGATTAGTGTATACAGTCTAAAAGAGCTACTGAAGTGACACTGGCTCCCACCCACACCTGAGCTTTACTCCATAAGCTCCCTTGTGCTCCTCTTCCCTCTTCTCTCTCTCTTTTCTTTTCCACAGGTTGAAATTGTGTATTTCAACTTTTGGATTTAAGCCTAAGTAGTCAGATTCTATATCAATATTAGAGTCAATGGAACAATGAAAATTCACTAAACAATGAACCAGCTGAATAATGAAGTTACATAGGATCAAAACACCACAATCTATACTGAAACATGCCACAAAAGGTCTTTCTATCACATACCTTTATTTTGTTAAAGAAAAACTAAAATGCAATTCATACAATGAAATGCACAAATTTAAGCAGTTTTGACAAATGTATATTGCCATGGTATAGTAAATCTTTTTCATCTATGTAGCTACAGTTCTGCTTTCAACCACAATAGATCAATTTTACTTATTCTTGAAAACTTTAAATTGATGGAATCGTACATTATACCTTCTTAGGTCTGAATGCTTTTGCTAAAGAAAAAGTTTCAAGGATTCATCTATATTTCTGTGAATATCCATCATTTGTCCTTTTAACATGCTGAATAGTAGGGCCTGTGAGATAGCTCAGTAGACTAAGTGCCTGCCTAGGCCACCACATGGGCTGGGGTTCTATCTCCGGCATCACATGCCATGCCTGCCCTGTCCCTAGGCACGATGAGCTGTCCACTGAGACTTGGCTTGGTGGCCCATGCCTATAATCCTAGTGCTGGGGAAGCTGAAAACAGGAGGATCACTACAAGTCCAAGATGCATAGTAAGACCCTGTACCAAATACATAAAAAGTATAAAAATAAAAATTAAAAATAATAATATAAAATAATGAGTGGTATTCTACTGTGTGATTTGTTCATATAATCTTATTAAAATTTAATATTGCTAAGTATGCCCTACTTTCCTTTTTTAAAATAATTTTATTGAGACACAAATAGCAACGAGACAGTTTCAAAACCGACTGCTAGCACAGTTTCAAGAATTAATACATTGCATGTTGTTATCTTAGTGGTTACTCATTGTACAAGATGCAGGCATAATATCCTGTCCACAAACACTATTAGAACAAATCTTTCTACTCATAGAATTAAGAGAAAGTAGCTATATATCCTATTTTTAATATACAGATACAAAATGGTCATTCATTTGTATCCCCTTTTTTGTTTGGTTTTGTCAGAGAAGGATATTCCATTGTCATTTAAATATTGTAGGTGCATGAATTCAGCAAAATATTCCAATATAGTCCAGTAGTCCATAATAGTAGTTGGTTTTCTGTAGGACTGGCAATGGCAGAAGTTGTTGACTTGAGCCTTTTACAGCTCAGCATATTAATATGGCTTTACTTTTTATACTTCATTTTTATACTTTTCTGCTGGATGGTTAGGGCTGGGGAGATAGTGCAGTAGAATAATCGCTTGCCTGGCAAGCGCAAGGGCCTGAGTTCAATATCTGGTTCCTCCAAAATTGATAAATAAATAATAAAATAAAATAAATTTAAAAAGTTTAAAGGCTAGTCTTTCAACGTCAGTGAAGACTCAGGACATAGGGGAACCTGTACTATAACATCCTGTAACTCAGTTGTTTCCCAAATTTTCTGATCAAGGAGATTATGAGACCACAGAGGAAAGTGATCGATGATGTGCAGTGTACCTAAGGAGAGTCACATGGAGAGAAAACATTTTCTCAGGCTTTCACAGAGAGCAAATTGGTAAAGCAATGGCCATGACTCATCCACATGGCTGACACTGACAAAAGATCTACAAACTATGGTACAGGGTTTCAGGATAAATCCTGAGGGGATCTGACTGAGCTTATCAGATACAAAAGTTACATTTCTTGTTGTACAGGTCTTGCTTTATCTTGGTCCTCCTCTCTTCGTGATACCGCTGAGAGCACACTGTGAGCTCTATTGTATTCCTGAGACTTTTGGCTCTTTACCTAAAGGGTCAGTTCCAGAATATCAGTTTACTCTGACTGGGCAAATTACAAGATCTGGTACCTTTATACTTGTAATGCAGTGGGTAGAGGCAACTACAATGTTCTTGAATCACACAATATAAAGCAATTCTATCCGGGAAGATTTGAGAAGGCTTGAAAGAAGTATAAACCCCATAATGACAGAGGACTTAGGTAACTGGCACTTTTTAAGATCTTTTTAACTATATAATCTTGAGTAAGTGTTCAATCTTCTACACTGCTATTGTATCATCCTTTGTAAATACAGATAAAATTTGTATCTTCATCTTAAAGTTATAAGTATTCAACTGATACAATTTTTAGAATAAAGAATTGTCCAAATATTTTTTTTACTATTTTAGCTCAAATGTACCTATACTTTTAACTAGTTATTCAACCTACCATTTTAAAGGTATTCACTAATATTAATTTAAATATTTTTAGTAAAATAACTTGACAATGTATTTTATAAAATAATTAGCTTAGCCCAAAATCAGATATTAACTGCACAAATTTCAACTAGAAAGTTAAAGAGAACTATTTTATATAAAGGATTTCTTTCTTCTTTCAAACCTGTGATTAATCCTTTTTGCTACAACCTGTTTGTATAATAAATCTATCACATACAATTCAAATGTAAAATAAGAAAACCATATGAAAAGAAATGACCTCAACACCTTCACTGCAACAGTCACTCTCATGTGATGACCGTGTGCCCGTCATGATCCAAGACTGTCTCAGGAGTCCTGTTCTCAAGGCCTCTGTTGGCTTTTCCATGGGACCTGGGGGCTTAAGAATGGTGAGGCTCAGAAGAACCCTGCATGACACAGGGATGCTCCTGAGAAACTCACCTTATCCCCTTCTTCCACCTGGCAGATGACCTCCTCAGTTGCAGGGCTAATGACAGGAAACTTCTTGCCACTCACTGAATTATGCCATTCATTGTTTATGAAGGTCTGCAGGGACACACATAAAATACATTGAAAAGAGTTTAAACACTACCTTTTGAGCATTTCTACAAATTTAAAAATAAGCACCCGACAATGCCTAAAAGTTTTTCCTACCTAAATTTTCTTTTGGTTCTAACTAACATTTTACACACATACATGCATGCATGCACACTAAAGTAATATTTTTTACATTTTGTGAAGGTCCTCAGTCTTTTCAATGCTTGAAAATATAGATGGGAGAAAATAATTTAAAAATCCTGTTTTGGCCTGAACTAGCATGAATCTGAGGCAAGAGCAGAAGCTCAGGCAGACTTGATCGGTATAAACCACTGGTTCCTTTTCCACTTCAAATTATGAACATGACCATGGTCTTCCTAGTTTGTTACCCTTTATTATTCTTCTTCCCCACACTACTAGGTGCCCTGAAATTCACAGCGGTCCTTCGGCCTCTGCCTTGCAAGTCTTGGGACTGGTCAGGCAGCACTACTCCCAGCCAGACCTGTATTTTAAACAAGGCTTTTACTTTCGGAGTTGCAAAGGCTTTTCCCACAACTTAAATATGCATTTTATGCTTCAAACAGAGGTTTGTTATGGCAACCCAGGGTAATGCAGTACACAGAAACTGTACTAATCTTGGGATGCTGGATCTTCACGTCAGTCAATGGGTCAGGTACTTTTGGTAAGGGACAACATCTCTGGTTCAGCTCCTGGAGCACAGCTGACAGACTCAGCAATTTGATTCTGAAACAGCACTTGGCTTCACTTGTTCCCTTTTATCTGCACACTCGCTAGAGCTTATTTGCATCTTGGAATTTGATTGGGTGAACAGACCCAGAACAAGAAAGAAAAGACAACGTTTATTTGTAACTCCTAGAGCAGGAAGGCTTTGACTTTAAACTTGAATCCTTAAAAATCAGCACTAACATTGAAGTTACATCTGGAGACAGGGCACTACTTGCAGATGAATTAATTTACAAAGCTGAAAGCTGTGATGAGGTTATGCAGCCCATTTGCTCCAGCCACTCATCTCTG